ATCCCACTAATGATGTGCCCTGGGCAGGATGAGCAATGGGTAAGGGGAGGGGGGGGGGAGGAGCTCGTATTTTCCAAGAACTTCTCCTAACGGCAGGACGCGCCCTGGTCAGAGTTTGTACAAGAAAAAAACAACTGGTGAACTCCCGATTTTCATGGCCTCACTAGCACGAAAACTCCCCTGACAAATTATTGACGACGAAACCCCTTGCTCCAAGAATCTCAAAAAAGTCCACTTCTGGACGTTTTGTTTACGCAAGCTGGAATTAGCCAGAAAAGCTGCGAGAACAGTTGTCGTCGGTCACATGCCCAGTCACTCTCAAATAAAACGCAAGGCCAGACTTTCACGGTAAATCATAAAAGCTGTCCCTAAGAAAATTTTCTCCAAGCTTTTTGCGTAGGTGGTTTCATAATTGCGCAAAACACAAGCTCACCTGATTTGTTTGCCCATCGAGTCCAGGTACTTCCCGGAAAGCGTCTCGAAAGCTGGATTTTCTATGAGTTGTACCAGGTTTCCTGCCGCACGACACATTGAAAGCGTGGACATTGAGCTCGACAGAGCCGAAGTCGTGCGCCTGAAATGAATAGGATCACGCTGTAGGAACGCATCGAGGAAAATTTTGGAACGTATGGAGTCGGGTTTGAAAATCCACGATTCTGGCATTTCGAGCAAAAACGTTCTCCCCTAATAGCCAAACTGCCCCCTTTCTGCCCTGCTCATGTCAGCTTCCACTCAGGGTACAGCATCGTTGTGTGAAAGGGGGTCGTACTTTTTCTCTGGGGAGGGGGGAGGGCGTATATTGGTGGGTGCGCAGTCTGGCGATGGAGGGGCGTATAATGAAGTGGGTGGTGTCCGGAACCCTCTCTCGGAGGAGGGGGGGGGAAGGATCAGATACCCGTACGGGAGCGGCGACGGCAGTACATATCACGATGCTTACCCTGCTTCCACTATCATACAATCGTAGGTTGCTTCTAGATGATATCCAGAGCACCAGCACTTTTCATAGATGAAACCACTCAAAGTCACCCCTTCGAAATATAGCGTGAACTATACTTACAGCCCTTCACCCTGGATAGTGCAACTCTTGACTTAATTTTCCTCAGACTCGCATAACGCCTAGATCCATAAGAAAACTGATGAAGGAGGTTACTAACAACAGATCTGCTGCCTTACAAAAACTAATGGGCTCGTATAACAAGATAGGCCGAACTCTAGACAAAAGATTCCCTCTTTGAAAGTCCCTGAATGCGAACTAGACATAAACCTCATTGCTCAGTTAGACTCATACTCGAGCTGAGATTGGTCGTAATTTCGGCATTGGCCATTAAAACTGACATTTTGCCATTGTTGTTCGGTTCACGTTCCTTGCCCAATTCGACGACATTTACGGCAACGTTCCGTCGAGCGATGTTCATTCGTCGATGGAGAGCAAATGCCATCAAATGCAGACAAAGTTTCGATCGTGAATACACCAAGTACTTCTCGTAGTCCCGCTTTGCCATCACGTCCGACCAATCTAACGCTGTCCTGAAATGAGGCACTAGAGATTTCCTATGGTCTGATTAAAAAATAGTAATTTACGGAGGAGACCAGAAAAATTACTAAATAGTTACTATACCATGAGGTCATGTCATTATCATCAATCACCCAAAATTAGGCGGTGCAGGCAAACACGCTGCCGCTATTCGTGCGATTCATAAACCGAATCGCGCTCACGCTAAGTACTTCTCCTTACACTCATAATCCCTGAGATGAGGTAGGCGTGGCTGCATACTTCAACTAAACGTTGTGGTGGCAATGCTTTTGGGCGGTTGTCACAAACTGAAATATCCACGAGTAACCAGTTCTGTGCCATATTCGAATGCCACGCCTACCCCGTCTCACGGGATAAGGAGTATACCTCCCGAGTGGGTTTATTGGTAACAGAATCGCTTGAGAGGGTAAAAATATGAACTTCAACATAAGTTAAGTAACAATTCACGGTGAATGTAAACCCATACTCACTAGGGAACTTTACGAGGATACATACTCGGTTCCTCCGCATATTA